ACACACACACACACATATACACACACAGGAATACTATTGAGCCACAAAAAAGAATGAAATCATGTCTTCTGAAGCAACATGGATGGAGCTAGAGGCCATTATCTTAACTGAAATAACTCACAAACAGGAAGTCAAATACCAAATGTTCTCACTTATAAGTGGGAGCTAAATAATGTGTACACATGGACATAGAGTGTGGAATAGTAGACACTGGAGACTCAAAAGGGTGGGAGAGTTGGGGAGCAATGAGGGATGAAAAATTATGTAATGGGTACAATGTACATTATTCAGGTGACGGTTACACTGAAAGCCAAGACTTCACCACTACACAATACATTCATGTAGCGAAACTGCACTTGTACCCCTTAAATGTTTACCAAAAAAAAGTGAACTTAGGTTAATTGTAAATACATATTCCAAACTCTAGAGCAACCACTAAAAATATGTAACTGATATGCTAAAAAAGAGAGAGAAAATGAAATCATATAAAAAATTTAGTTAAAATATAGAGAAGTAAGCATTCATATGCAGTAAAATGATATAGACAAAAATTACAGACAAATCTCTTTCAGTAGAGGAACGAATAAATTACAGAACCATGAAATATTTGACTATGAAGCTATATATACTTATATATTAAGAGCATTAAGCTATGTTAAGTGGAAAGCATACTGCAAAACAATACATTAAAAATCTCTTCTATATAATTGTTTAAAATGATGGAAGACAAAAAGAAAAGGGAGGATGGCAGGAAAGGAGTGAGGGAAAGCCATAAATATACATACCAATCTGTTAGCAGTGGTTCTTTCTGGCAGGAGAAATGAGACTCAGAATGAATGAAAAGGGGTTATTGAACTTAATTATCATATACAATTTTTCTACATATGCATTGTAATGAGAATCCCTAGATATATTATTTATACAAATCTTTTTTTAAAAAGAAAAAGCAAAGGAAGCAAAAGGGAAGAATATTATGGTTTCCACAAAACTAACAAAGTGGTTGCTAGCTTACCTCCATCATTGGCTGAAAGGATGTCAACCAAATCATTTCAAATAAAAACTTGAGATCCATCATTAATAGTTTTAATTTACAACTTCATTTAATGGCTAATTTGATTTACAACTATTCTTTTTTTTTTTTTTTTTTGGAGACATAGTTTTTGCTCTGTTGCCCAGCCTGAAGTGCAGTGGCACGATCTTGGCTCACTGCAATCTCCGCCTCCCAGGTTCAAGAGATTCTCCTGCCTCAGCCTCCCAAGTAGCTGGGATTACAGGTGCTGGCCACCACACCTGGCTAATATTTGTATTTTTAGTAAAGACAACGTTTCACCATGTTGGCCAGGCTGGTCTCAAACTCCTTGACCTTATGTGATCCACCTGCCTCTCTCAGTCTCCCAAAGTGCTAGGATTACAGGCCATGGCGCCCAGCCTACAACTATTCTTCATACAAGTAGTTTAGTTTGGCTTGTGAACTAAACCAAGGATCAAATACAATTTGGGAGCTGGAAGGAATTTTAGGAACCATCTGTATCTGCCCCCTCCCTTTACATACGAGGAAATTAAGAAAAAAGAGATTTGTCCTAAAACAGACAACTAATTACACCATCAGTGTGTTAAAAAGAGAACAAAACTCAACCTCCTTGCTTCTAGTCTAGTCCTCTGGTAAATTCAATTTATTTCCTTCCATTCACCTTGTAAATATCATCTGTGCTTCCTAAATAGTTCCTGAAAATTTTCCTTTTTCAATCGCATTTCCAAATTATCTGCCTGAAAAGAATTTCACATTTATGTGCTGAATCCAGAAGAGACAACATAGAGCTTAGCATGGCAAAAGCATTTAGAAACTGCCTCTTATCTAACATTTTTGCTTTTATTCTTAATAAAACTGCTGAAGCAACTTGTTTAACCAATGAGACAGACACAAAGTTGAGAGTGGAAACAAATGTCTTGACTCCCAGAACACTGTTCTTCTGTATTTCATACCATTTTACATGTTTTATTTTTTAAATAAAAGGCAGTGTGTTCTTGCACAACAAACACCCACTGGCTAACAAGATGACTTTGGGAAGTCACTGAACTCTTGCAAACTAAGTTTCAGCTATTAAAGGAACAGGGTCAATTAGGTAAGCTCTGACATTTCTTGCTCCTTTCCATGAGTCTGGAATTTCTAAGATATGGCTCAATATGTATTAGGTAATGGATCCCAGTGGCAAGATGAAATACTGCAGGTCAACTCCATGAACGGTTTTATGGAGTTATACAAAGCAACAGAAAAGAGCAGAGTTCAGGAACTCCTTAGCATAAACCCAAACTTGGAGAAGTAGAACTAGCTAATCTGTAGTTTTAGACTCAGTAAAGTACTTGGGATCATTCTCAACAACCATAAAGTTACCATGTGCCATAATTATACATCCATCACAGGGTTTCTAGGAACTGAATGTTTTTATTTTTTAATATTTGTGGGTACAAAGTAGGTATATATATTTATGAGGTACATGAGATGTTTTGATACAGGAATGCAATGTGAAATAATCACACCATTGACTACAGGGTATCCACCCCCTCAAGCATTTGTCCTTTGTGTTTCAGATGATCCAATTACACTCTTTTAGTTATTTTTAAATGTATAATTAAGTTATTATTGGCTATAGTCACCCTGCTGTGCTATCAAATAGTAGGTCTTATTCATTCTTTCTTTCCTTTTTCATTCTTTCTTTTTATTTTTTTTACCTGTTAAGCATCCTCACCTCCCACCAAGTTCTCCACTACCTTCCCCAGCCTCTAGTAACCATCTTTCTACTTTCTATGTCCATGAGTTCAATTGTTTTGATTTTTAGATCCTACAAATAAGTGAGAACATGTGATGTTTGTCCTTCTGTGCCTGGATTATTTCACTTAACATAATGATCTCCCCCAGTTCCATCCATGTTGTTGCAAATGACAAGATCTCATTCTTTTTTATGGCTGCGTAGTACTCCATTGTGTATATGCGCCACATTTTCTTTATTCATTCATCTGCTGGACACTTAGGTTGCTTCCAAATTTTGGCTATTGTGAACACTGTTGCAACAAACATGGGAGGGCAAATATCTCTTCAATATACTGCTTCCCTTCTTCTGGGGATATACATAGCAGTGGGATTGCTGGATCACATGGTAGCTCTATTTTCAGTTTTTTGAGGAACCTCCAAACTGTTCTCCATAGTGGTTGTACTAATTTACACTCCCACCAACAGTGTACCAGGGTTCTCTTTTCTCTGCATCTTCACCAGAGTTTGTTATTGCCTGCCTTTTGGATATAAGCCATTTTAACTGGGGTGAGATAACATCTCATTGTACTTGTGATTTGCATTTCTCTGATGAGCAATAATTTGAGCATTTTCATATGCCTGTTTGTAATTAACATCTCATTTAGTTTTGATTTGCATTTCTCTGATGAGCAATAATGTTGAACGCTTTTTCATATGCCTGTTTGCAATTTTTATGTCTTCATTTGAGAAATGTCTATTCAAATCTTTTGCCCATTTATTGATCAGATTATTAGATGTTTTCCTATAGGGTTGTTTGAGCTCCTCATATATTCTGGTTATTAATCCCTTGTCAGGTGGATAGTTTGCAAATATCTTCTCCCATTCTGTGGGTTGTTGCTTCACTTTGTTGATGTTTCCTTTGCTATGGAGAAGCTTTTTAACTTGATATAATCTCTTCTGTCCATTTTTGCTTTGGTTGCCTGCGCTTGTAGGGTATTAGTCAAGAAATTTTGCCAAGACCAATGTCCTAGAGATTTTCCCCAATGTTTTCTTGTAGCAGATTCATAGTTTGGGGTCTTAGATTTAAGTCTTTAGACCGTTTTGATTTGATTTTTGTATATGGTGAGAGACAGGAGTCTAGTTTCATTCTTCTGCATATGGATATCCAGTTTTCCCAGCGCCATTTGTTGAAGAGAGTTTTCCAGAGTGTATGTTCTTGACACCTTTGTGGAACATGAGTTCACGGCAGGTGTGTGGATTTGTTTCTGGGTTCTATACTCTGTTCTATTGGTCTATGTGTGTTTTTATGCCAGTCCCATGCCATTTTGGTTACTATAATATAATCTGAAGTTATATAATGTGATTCCTCCCATTTTGTTCTTTTTGCTTAGGATAGCTTTGGCTATTCTGGGTCTTTTGCCCGAGTCCACATACATTTTAGGGTTGTTTTTTCTATTTCAGAAGAACGTCATTTGTATTTTGATAGGGATTGCCCTGAATCTTTAGATTGCTTTTGGTAGTATGGACATTTTAACAATATTGATTCTTCCAATCCATAAACATGAAGTATTTTTCCATTTTTTGGTGTCCTCTTCAATTTCGTTTCATCAGTGTTTTATAGTTTTAGTTACAGAGATCTTTCTAGGTAGTGAACTTCTGATGAGCATCTAGTTTTCTACTCTTACTATTCCTTCTCATTAACATTCTGAGAATGCATCTACTAACTCATAACAATTATGTCAATTGCATATGCTATTAAGCCGAAGAATTTGGTTTTCTTTTAAAACAGCATTCAACAACAGTAATTGTTAAAACAAAATAACAATAAAACCTAAGTCTGATTCTAATATATTTGAGGAGACAGTACACGAATATAATCAACCTTTTTCTGAAAAATCACTAGAGATAGACCTTAAATGCCTATTCATGACTCATTTCTCAGCTCATATTTTGCCACTGGGCAATTCTTATTAACATATTAACATATGGTTATGTATTTATTTTACTATATATCACCATGAGCCTTGTCAGTGTCTTACAACTTGGGGATTAGCTTAGTTATAGGAAAGATTTCATGCTGTATTATTGTTGTGGAATTTCTTTTCACAATCAGTATTAACTGTGGGTCTTTCTCTTTGCTAGGTTCTAGAGGTAGGTCTAGAAATACAAATGGAGTACCTAACTTATAGTGCTTATAGCAGTGAAATAATCTATATTTGGAAGAATGTAATCTTCTTAACATTATACTTACTGATAAACTTGTTTTGCATAGTCTCCAACAGGGCTTGGTGAGCATCTTCAGCTTGTAAAGCATGTGAACATTCTCTAGCCAGTATGGTGCGCACAAGATGCTCTCCACATCCTAGAAATCCAAAGAAACCAACAGTTGAGGAAAAGCAGCACCGAACACCCTGCTTATTTCAATAGCATTAGAACATCCTTATGCATCATTTAAGAGAGTAGTTAGCTGGGAAAATAATTCAGTGAGGGATGAAATGACTTCCATGAGCAATCTGGTAATTTTAGTAAAGAGATTCAGCAGAAACTAAACACAAAGTTATCAATCAAAAACAAACCAACACAAATTAATATGATACATAGTTCTCTGTTTAACTAATATGTATTATGACTGGTGTTAGGCACTAAAAAAAAAATCCCTCTAAAAAATATTATGTGTAATTGTTAAACCACATTGGTACTTTTCGACATATATTCATTGCCACAAATACCATCAGTTCATAAAAGTGTGAATTTTTCAGGACACAGGCATGGACAAAGACTTCATGTCTAAAACACCAAAAGCAATGGCAACAAAAGCCAAAATTGACATATGGGATCTAATTAAACTAAAGAGCTTCTGCACAGCAAAAGAAACTACCGTCAGACTGAACAGGCAACCTACAGAATGGGAGAAAATGTTTGCAATCTATCCATCTGACAAAGGGCTAATATGCAGACTCTGCAAAGAACTTAAACAAATTTACAAGAAAAAAAAACAACCCCACCAAAAAGTGGACAAAGGATATGAACAGACACTTCTCAAAAGAAGACATTTATGCAGCCAACAAACATGAAAAAATGTTCATCATCACCACTGGTCGTCAGAGAAATTCAAATCAAAACCACAATGAGATACCATCTCACACCGGTTAGAAATGCGATCATTAAATGGTCAGGAAACAACAGATGCTAGAGAGGATGTGGAGAAATAGGAACACCTGTACACTGTTGGTGGGACTGTAAACTAGTTCAGCCATTATGGAAGACAGTGTGGCGATTCCTCAAGGATCTAGAACTGAAAATACCATTTGACCCAGCAATCCCATTACTGGGTATATATTCCAAGGATTATAAATCATTCTACTATAAAGACACATGAACATGTATGTTTACTGCAGTACTCTTCACAACAGCAAAGACTTGGAACCAACCCAAATGTCCATCAATGACAGACTGGATAAAGAAAATGTGGCACATAGGCCAGGTGCAGTGGCTCATGCCTGTAATCCCAGACTTTGGGAGGCCAAGGTGGGTGGATCACCTGAGGTCAAGAGTTCGAGACCAGCCTGGCCAACACGGTGAAACCCCATCTCTACTAAAAAATACAAAAATGAGCTGGGCGTGGTGGCAGGTGCCTTAATCCCAGTTACTTGGGAGGGAGAGGCAGGAGAATCATTTGAACCCGGGAGGCAGAATTTGCAGTGAGCCGAGATCAAGCCATTGTACTCAAGCCTGAGGGACAAGAATGAGACTTCTAAAAAAAAAAAAAAAGAAAGAAAGAAAGAAAGAAAGAAAGAAAGAAAGAAAGAAAGAAAGAAAGAAAGAAAGAAAGAAAGAAAGAAAGAAAGAAAGAAAGAAAAAGAAAATGTGGCATATATACACCATGGAATACTATGTAGCCATAAAAAAGACGAGTTCATGTCCTATGCAGGGATATGGATAAAGCTGGAAACCATCATTCTCAGCAAACTAACACAGGAACAGAAAACCAAGCACTGCATGTTCTCACTCATAAATGGGAGATGAACAATGAGAACACATGGACACAGGGAGGGGAACATCACACACCAGGGCCTGTCAAGAGGTGGGGGGCTAGGGGAGGGTAGAGTTAGGAGAAATACCTAATGTAGGTGACGGGTTGATGGGTGGAGCAAACGACCATGGCACGTGCATACCTATGTAACAAAACTGCACGTTCTGCACATATACCCCAAAACTTAAAGTATAATAAAAAAATAATAAAATAAAAAAGAACAGGAGCCACTAGGACCTTCAAGGAAAAAAATGCCATCTTCAACCAGAAACAAATGTGCTGAATAGGTAAAACACTGCCTTTGACTATTACATCAGTCATAGTAGATTAGAAATATGTCATATTATAAACAGTCAATTAGAAATAAGATTACATTCCTCTCCAGTGTTGGAAGTGGATGTTTTAAGAAAATTATTCAGCAAGACTGGAAAGTGAGAGGAAAGAAAAAGAATCAATAGAAGAATGGGAATTCTGAAGTAGTTGTTCACCTATTCAGTAAGAAGAATAAATAAAGGCCTTCTAAAAGAGAAAAAAAAAAGTATGATTTTTTTTTTTTTTTTTAGAAATTGTCAGATATTTGCCAGAAATGGCTTCCCTGTATTTTTGGTAAAGTGTAAATGCAAACATCCTTCAGGATCTAAATCTCTTTGTGAATGAATATCTACACTTCGAGGAAGATCTACATTCACAATCCAGTGTATAACTTTGTGGCATTCCCTATTCAGTAAATTTTTGCAATATTGTTTTTATAATTGGGAAAAAGATGACAATAAAGCTAACAGAAACCATGCTGGACACTTACTATGCACAAACATCGTGCTTAGCTCATAAAACGCCGTAAAGTTTAATTCCCTTTGTGCACATACTTGACATTGGGCAGTGAAATGTTACACTTTAGGACAATAATAACTGCTAGGAAATTGGCATTTTATAAACTAAATGAATGTTCAGAAGGTTATATACACATGCCTGAAGTCAAAAAGCTAAACCACATGAAGTTAACATTACATCAAAAATACATAATGTATGTCAGAAAGACCTTGCTCTGTTGTTATACAGGAATATACATATACGGCTTTCTAATGATTGATCTTTTTACCAAGAAACTTTAAAAATTATGACTTATATTATCTGACATTGATCATCTTTAACAAAGAGCCACGAAACCCAAGTTTATTCTCCTGTAGGTTCCAATCAAAGAAAGTTTGACTTCTGTGGTTTTACCTACAAAATTCCAAGGTTTCTTAGAATATGCTGCCATACAGCTGAAGTGTGATTCAACGGCAAACAGTTCCAGTCTTTATTCACCAATATTAGAAATAAGCCTTTCATTATATCCTCTTTTTGTCCTTACTTTTCCAAGTAAGAGTATGTGTATGTTCTTACATCTTAGCAGAAAACATGGATTATAAAAGACCTGGCAAGACGCCTAGAAGTAAAACATACCGAGTTCTTAAAAAAGAAAAATTTTAGCATCAATAAGTACGACAAATGAATAGATTAAAACACATAATAAATTCATAACTTATGTTTTTAAAAGCACTGATCACCTTTGGAGGATGCTATGAAACCAACTCACTATTCTGAAAACTGGTAACAAGAAAACAAGCAAGCATGTTTCTGTCCTTCCAATAGGAACTATATGCCAGAGTAACCAAACAATTTATGAAGGAATATTTTCTCTGTAGAAGTACCCCGGGCCGGGCGCAGTGGCTCAAGCCTGTAATCCCAGCACTTTGGGAGGCCGAGACGGGTGGATCACAAGGTCAGGAGATCGAGACCATCCTGGCTAACACAGTGAAACCCCGTCTCTACTAAAAAAAATACAAAAAACTAGCCGGGCGAGCTGGCGGGCGCCTGTGGTCCCAGCTACTCGGGAGGCTGAGGCAGGAGAATGGCGTGAACCCGGGAGGCGGAGCTTGCAGTGAGCTGAGATCCGGCCACTGCACTCCAGCCTGGGCGACAGAGCGAGACTCCGTCTCAAAAAAAAAAAAAAAAGTATCCCAGATAATAAACGAAAAAGAAATTAATAGAATTAGAATATAACCATTTGTAACCCATAATGTAATAAGTGATAGAGGCAATCATCAGTGGCTGCTAATACCACAGAAAGATACCAGACACTATGTATCTCTTGACAAAATCATACCTATGTAGTCTTGCCCACTGCCCAAAAAAACTATACTTGAATCTGATTAGGCCTCTAAGTTCAGTTATCAATTTCCAGAAATAAAGAACATCTGCAAGAAAACCTACAGTTACATCATACTTAATGATGAAACACTGAATTGTTTCTCCCTAGGATCAGAAACAGGGCAATGATGTCTGCTTTCATCACTTCTCTTCAATAATGTACTGGAGATTTCAGCCGTTGTAATAAGGCAAGGGGGAAAAAGGCATAAAGAACAGAAAGGAAGAAGTAAAACTGCCTCTATTCACAGACGATATAATTTTCTAAGCAGAAAATCCCAAAGGATCTACAAAACAGCTATTAGAGGTATCTCTCCATATTCTTCCTGTCTGGTTAGTCTAGGACAAAGGCCGGCAGAAGGTATCTGCCTGGTACTTACTAGTCCTCAAAATATGGACCTGACCTTCATTTCTTTCCCCATTCATTCACTTGCCAGGCTGTTACTGAGTCCCTACTCTGTGGTAGGCCCGGAGTACATAGCAGTTGGCAGGGGTGCTACTACGTATTGTCAGACCTCCCCTAAAGTGTCAGACCCCTGCTTGGTTACTTAGTATTCACTTAACCGTCATTCTGGCCAGTCCAGATGTCAATGCCCTGACTGTGTAGTCTATACACCAATTCAAGGATTCATGTAAAAACCCTGGATTCAGCAGGAATCCTGGACATTCCCACGGCCCTAGGAGTGCCAGTCTCTATGGCCAGGTCATCTCACATTAATCCTAACCCTTACAATCCAGACCCATCTCACTCTTTCCCAGTATGTTTCCTGTTGCTGAGAATTCAGCATGTCCCATGCTCAAAGATAATACAGGTCTTCTCTTGTGGGTATCCCTAAAATTTCAAAACTTACACTGAAGATGAATTCTCAATAAAAAATTCCAACCCCCAACTTCAACACACATATACGTACAACCATAAGGAAGAATGAGCAATAGCAAAAAAAAAAAAAAAAAAAACTATTTCAAGAAATGAAAATAATTGGACATTGGCTGAAAACAAATTTGTAAAAGGCCGAATAGTAAGTATTTTAGGCTTTGAATGCTACATGTAATTTCTCTCTATCAAATATTCTTAATTTTTTTTTTGCGACCAAGTCTTAAAAACTAAAAAATCATTCTTAGCTCATGAGCTATACAAA